ACTAACCCTTACCCTGTCCCTCTCTGTCCTGCTACAGTTGTGGAGAACATCTGTTCCAAAGTGGACCATGTGATCTGCTCCAGCGGCGTGCAGCTGTTCCCGTTCTACCCCAGCCTGGGCGCCGCCCTTTACGGCGAGCGGCGTCCGGCCTGGCGGCTGCCGGCCGCCTTCAGCCAGCGTCTGGACGCGCTCATCTGGAGGTTCCTCCGGACGCGCCGGCTGGAGGACGCCCTCCACCAGCAGATGCGCCGCCACCTGTGCGGCGTGCGGCTGGCGGAGGCGGAGCCGGAGGCGTGGCTCCGCCCACTGCCCGCCGTCCTGCGGCAGCCCGGGCTGACGGCCGAACGGCTGGACGGCTGGCGGGACGGCGCCCAGCGGGCCTTCTGCGCCCTGCTGGACCAGTACTCCGCCTTCGAGGTCCCCGTGAGCGCCGAGGCCTGGAGGGCGGCGGACGGGGAGGTGCGGGCGGCCGTGGGGGAGGCGGGCGCCGTCCTGGCGTTCGACGCGTCCAGAGGGGTCCTGACCGTGGCCGGGCAGGCCGACGGCGTGCGGGCGGTGCGGGCGCCGGTGGAGAACCTCGTCCTCCGGGCCAAGGCCGTCCGCGAGCGGCAGACCAGGAGCCTCACCGAACAGGTGCCGCTGCCCCCCCCCCGCTTCTTCATGCTGGAGCAGGCGGGGCTGCGGGACGCCGCCCGGGACGTGTCCCCCGAGCTGACGCTGTCCTACCGGGAGGCCCAGCAGACGCTGGACATCACTGGGCTGCCGGAGGAGGTGCTCAAGGCCAAGTGCTGGATCCTGGAGAAGAACGGCGGCATGAGGAAGAGGCCGCTGACCGTCCCCCAGGGCGTGCTGCAGTACCTGAGGACGGTGGACCCCATGGACATGTCCCAGAGTCTGTTCACCGCCCAGGGCATCGGCGCCATCTACTCCCGGGAGGGCAAAGGCCTGGTCCTGCTGGGGGCCTCCGCCGGAGCCCTGGACCAGGCGGAGAGCCAGATGAAGGCCAAGCTGGCGGTGCAGACGGTGGCGGTGGAGGACCAGCAGGTCCTGAGGCTGCCCGGCTGGCTGGAGCTGACCCGGCAGCTGCTGGACTCCTTCAACACCTCCAGCCGGAAGGTGGTGTCCATCCGGGTGGAGGGCGGCGAGCGGGTGGTGGTGGCCGGCTTCCTCTCCCCGGTCAACGAGGTGTGCGGCAGCCTGAGGGACTTCGTCCACCGGTTCTCCCGGGTGGAGGAGAGCCTCCGCGTCCAGTCCCAGGCGGCCGTGCTCTTCATCCAGAGGAACCGCACAGAGGTCTGGGCCGAGGCCATCCGGCAGGGAGAAGTCTCGGTCCAGTTCGACCCCCAGAGGCCGCGGATCGCCATGTGGGGGGCCCGCCTACACGTGCAGAGCGCCAAGCAGTGCTTCCAGCAGCTGGCCGGCGGCCTGGTCACCGACACGCTGACCGTGGACAAGCCGGGGGCCAAGAAGTACTTCCTGTCCCAGGAGAACCCCATCCTGTCCTCCATCATGGCCGAGTTCAGCTGCGTGGTGGCGCTCCAGTCCGAGGAGGAGGAGGAGGCCCCCGGGGACCAGGCGGAGGACGGGTGCTGCTACCAGAACCCCGCCGGCGTCCGCGTCTCCGTCAGCAGGGCCGACATCTGCAGCTTCCCGGCGGACGCCGTGGTCAACGCGGCCAACGAGGAGCTGCAGCACCTGGGCGGCGTGGCGCTGGCGCTGCTGCGCGCCGCCGGCGCCCCGCTGCAGGACGCCTGCAGCCGGCTGGTGGCCCAGCGGGGGAAGCTGCGGCCCGGCCAGGCCGTGGTGACCGACAGCTTCCAGCTGCCCTGCAGGCACGTGGTGCACGCGGTGGGGCCGCGCTTCGGCGAGTGGGACCGGCCCACGGCGGTGGGGCTGCTGGCGGCGGCGGTCCAGGAGAGCCTGCGGCAGGCGCAGCAGGCGGGCTGCCGCTCCGTGGCCCTGCCGGCCGTCAGCTCCGGCGTGTTCGGCTTCCCGCTGCAGCTCTGCGCCGACACCATCGCCCGGGCCGTGCGCGAGCACCTGGACGGCCAGCAGGGCGGCGCCGGCTCGCTGACCGACGTCCACCTGCTGGACATCAAGGAGGACACCGTCAGGGCCATGGCGGCCGCCGTCAGCCGGGAGTTCGGCGGCACGCGCTGGGCGACCAGCAGCAGGACCCCCGGGTAAAGGACACCTCCGTTCCACAGACACAGCCAATAGGGGGTGCAGACACATTACTACCCCCCCCACCAAACAAAACAGAAAAAAATAATAATAATAATGCACAATCTTAATTTTTCCATTTAAAAACATAAGATTTCAGTTAAAATAATGTCCTTTATTTTGAATGGTGAATATTATTATGTAGTAATTAATGATACAATTATTCAATCTGATTTATAATAATAATGATGCCAATTGTCATTGGACCATCCACAGGAAAATTATCCTGTTCCAGCAGGAACTAATAGATGACGCAATCATATAAGACACACATGCAAAAACCCTGTTGAATGAAAAAAAAGCAAAATAAACTAAAACATCTTAAATGCAACCAAATACCACTAAACAAACAAAGGCAAGAAAAAAGAAAACAAACCCAAAAAATGTGTTTTAAATGCAAAAATAAAACACAAAAAACAGACAAACAAATGTTGCTAAAGGCAAAAGAACAAAAAAAAATCTATTTAAAAAAAATATTAAATGAAAAAAAAAAAAAAAAAGTTCTTAGATACCAAAAAAACATAAAAAAGTTATGTGTTGGCTGCCTCTCTCTGCTCCCACTGTCCTTCTCTCTCACTCTTTCTCTTGCCTTCTCTCTCTCTTGCCCCCAACCGGCCGAGGCAGATGGCCGCCCACCCTGAGCCATGGTTCTGCTCCAGGTTTCTGCCTGTTAAAAGGAAGTTTTTCCTTGCCTGTGTCGCCCAGTGCTTGCTCATGGTGGGAATTGTTGGGTTTCTGTAGTTAACTTCAGAGTAGGGTCTGACCTGCTCTGTTTGGAAAGCTGTGAGACAACTGTTGTTGTGATGTGGAGCTATATAAATGAAATTGAATTGAATTGAATTGAATTAAATGCAGCCACCCCCACAAAAAACAAACAGAAAAGCAAACAAACAAACAAACAAAGTAAAAAAAACAAAAAAGAAAACAAAAACATGTTGTTAGATGCAAAAAAACAAAAAGAAAAAATATAAAATACAAAGAAATAACTACACAAAACCCCTAAATAACCCTAATAAGACCACAAAATGTGTCCCATGCAAAAAAACAAAAAAGCTGATGTGGATTCAAGACCTGACAGAAGACAGCAGGAGATCTTAAATGTGCTCCAGGGGAGCAGGACTGGGCCTGAACCTCCCAGGAGATGAACTCAGTCTGCACTTTGCTCTGTTCAGCCCCGGTGGACGCCAGCGGGGCCGAGGGAGGGGCCACAGTCACAGCCCCAGTGAGAGAGGAGGAAGAGGAGGAGGAGGAGGAAGAGGAGGAAGAGGAGGAGGAGGAAGAGGAGGAACGGGATTCCAAGGAGATAAGCAGGTTATTCTGAATGCTCCACCTGTAAATATCAGGGTCTGGGAGCGGTTTAAGCTGGGAGGAAACCCTCTTACAGAGCTAAAAACCATTATCCTCACTGAATCACCACACTGATTCTGTTATCTTTCTGTTTTCCACCGTTTTGAATTAGTCAGAATGTGTCTCTGTTGCTAATTTACTAATGAAAAATCTTCCTAATTGTTTATATTAGTCGTGTTCTGACGTGTTAATGATGCTTCAGACGCAAGCTGATATACATGCAACACAATTCACAGCCAAAAAAGTGTTGTTATTATTATTATTATTATTATTATTATATTATTATTATTATTGTTGTTGTCATTGTTGTTGTTATTATTATTATTGTTGTTATTATTATTACTACTATTGTTGTTCCTCTTCTTCTTCTTCTGCTTCTTCTTATTACTATTGTTGTTTGTTGTCATTGTTATTATTATAATTATCATCCCCATCATGTTTGTATTTATTGTAGTGAGAGTGGCCGCATTCGTTTGACTTCTTGTCTCTTTTCAGTCTTTCTCCAGAGACGTTTCTGGTCAGAGGAGCTCAGGAAACCAGGAAGGGGCTGCAGCTCCTCAGCCTCTCCTCCAATCACAGCACTCCTCTGGTGAGAAAGCAGCCATTTACAGCGAGAGCTAATCGAACGGTGAAAGATAAAGCAATGAAGCTCAGTAAACATCAGCTTGTTGTTTCGACTGGTTATGGGGAAAGCATTTCATGATCAAAAGTCCACCTTTTTGATAGCCTTTATTATCATTTTAGGGTCTATAAAAATGTCAAAATGCTCCGTTTGGAGTCCCTTCAATAGCCCCGCCTCCTCAGAGGCCCCGCTCTGATTGGCCAGCTGGCTTGCCAGTAACGGTGAACTGAGAAGCAGCTTTCTGCATTTTATTGAACTTTTCCCTCATTTTGAGAAGATGTTAGACAATTGTGTTTTTTCACCATTCATTTTCTTAATTTAAATTGTTGCAGCTTACATAGACATATAGATGCAAGCTCACATTCAGTCTGCTGCTCATCACTTATGAAATGCTTAAAACAAGATTAAAAGTATCAGGTTAAACTTCAAGCGAATGCAAATTAAAACAAATAAAGGACAATTTAAACAAAATAAAATCACTTGAAATAAATAAATGAATGAACATATATTGAAATAAATTGAAAAAAAAAATGTTATATATAATATACCTATTAGAAAATAGAAATGACAGGTCAACAAATTAAATAAAAAATAACTAAATTACTTTAAGAAATAAATTAATTTAATAATGAATATGAATATAAATATAAGTTAAATTAATTGGAAAAAAAACCCAAAATATATTAGAAAATAAAAATACTCCCACTTATACTGCATTAGTATGGTCATCGACAAGTTTCCATCAGTAAATAAACATGTGTTTTTGAAGCCTCTAGGAATCAGTTATGATAGTTTTAAAGACAGAAAGAGTCTTTAATGGAGGTTTTCAGTGACGAGTCAAATCAGAGCGATGGCACAGACGCTGCTCACCACTAAAAGCAGCAGAGGTCCAGCAGAGGTCCAGCAGGGTGGGATAAATGACCCAGGCGCTGCTTCTCTGTGCCCGCAGCCTCCTTTGGGCAGGTGTCCTCCCCCTCGCTGGGGGTCTACCACATGCAGATGGGCCGGCTGGCCCTCCAGGTGTCGTCAGGAGACATCACCAAGGAGGCCTGTGATGTCATCGTCAACTCCTCCAATCACACCTTCAACCTGCAAGCAGGTGACTGATGATGACCGAGCTCAGAGCCCCGCGGCGTGCTCCGGGGTTCGGTGGGGACACGTGCTCTTTCTGTCCTTTAGGAGTGTCCAAGGCCATTCTGGACGGCGCTGGGGGCGGCGTGCTGATGGAGTGCTCACAGATTGGTGCGTTTCTCAGACTAAACCTTTACTTTCATCATGCATTTGCCATCATATGTTTATCTAATACAGAGTCTAAACCTGGTTCCAATCAATTACAAAAATACCACTTCTATTTGGTTTGAGAAAGTGCAGCAAAACTAAACTTAAATGTGCCTTTAGAACCAGATCAGATCAGAATCAGCTGTAATAGCCAAGTATCTGTGACATACAAGGAATTTGAATCCAGATGTTTTCCCTTCAGAGTGGAGTTACCGTATTTTCTCTACTATAAGGTACCAGATTGTTTCTAGCTTTAGTTGGAAACCTGAGAATAAACTAGAGTAGAACTTAGAGTAGTTAAAAGCCATTGTGTTTAAAAAATAGAAACAAATCTAGAAATGGCAGCAGTGGCGCTCTAAGAAATGAGAATGAACTCTGAAAGTTAGGAACCCTCTGAACACGCTTTCAGAAGTTAGAATAACTATAATAATTGCACCTGATTGGAAATAGTGGGGGAGATATCCTACACTTCTTCAGGGTCTTTGAAGGTGCTGACGGCTTTAAACATTTCCATCATTTTGGTCCTTTGGCGTAAAACACAATTGTTTTTTCAGACGTGCTTTTAAAATAAATCCAACTGGATATTCAGCTTTAATTGAATATGTTTCCAATTTAGAAAACCTTGCTTTTGGATTGTCTTAAAAAGCCTCAGAACCTTCAGAGAGATATGGTGTTAAATGTAGCTTCTGTGAAGCCACATCTGTGCCGGTCTGTTGCAGTGAGCTCTCCGGGCTACCAGCCTCAGGCCATGATCATGACCTCAGCCGGGAAGCTGCCCTGCCAGAACATCCTGCACATCGTCGGCCGCAACGAGCCCTCCCAGATCAGGGAGGTGGTGGGCGCTGTGCTGAAGGCCTGCGAGGAGCAGAAGTTCTCCTCCGTGGCCTTCCCAGCCCTGGGAACAGGTCTGTGCACTCAAACAGCTCCACTTTAACCCCCTCCGGCTGTAAAGGACAGGCCTCTGATGGGATGTGTTGTTCTTGCTTTCATCTCTGTCATTTTATCATTCTTATCTTTTTGGTCGTGTCTTTTTTACTCACTGCCTTAGTTCGCTTTGGTTCTGTTTACTCATCTAAATGTCCACAGGCTGCTTGTGTTTGAGTCCATTTAACACAGCTAAACAGGTCAGATGCAAAACAAAAACCCTGCAAACATTAAAAACATTCCAACAGTGTTTTTGGGGAAGTCCTTCATGGACTCACTCAGTTTAGTTTTCTGGAGCTGTCGGCCAATCAAAAGCCTTCTGGATTCTGCTTTTAGTTTCTCTAAGAAAAGATGTGCAAAAAAGTGGGAAAAGGGAAAAAATTGGAAAGTTATGTGAGAAAGTCAGTGAGTTCTATCAGAAATAGTTTAGTTTCTTCGCCCTTTTCCTCCCTTAGATTAAAGAAAAAGCCATGGCCCCAATGACATGCATGTTTAAGCACTTCTGATGATTACTGAATTTTTCCTAAAGCTGAATTATAGAGAAGTTATTTCTCTTGATATTTTTTCTGTTAAACTCTAAGTTTGAGACTAAAATCAAAAGTCTGTCTATTTGATTCTGTGGCTCATAACTCAGATAGGACCAAAAATCAGCCTCCAAAACGTAAAGATCTCCACTTCCCTGAAACAGAGAGCAAAAAATTAGGAAATAATTTGTTAATTTTTTCCATTTTCAGTAGAAGTTAATGTGTTTGTTATGTTATGAGAACACAAATTACACAAATTATTAACAGAAATCCATGAAAACATGAATAACTCAACTTTGCTGGTCAGTTCTATTTATTTAACTATTTATCTAGTAGCTTGCAATTCACAGGAAAGATGTCATAATGGGAATAACAGAGAATCTGAAATAATATTTTGTTAATTAGATACCAAATAGGATGTGTTTTGGAAATGGTACCAGAATCAAAAAATTATTAATATTCCTCAAAATTACCTCATGAATCAACTCCATTGGATCATCCATCCATCCATTCATTCACTAAGGGCAGTTTGGAGTCCAACAACCTAACATGCAAGTTTTTGGACGGTGGGAGGAAGCCGGAGAACCCGGAGAGAACCCACAGACACAGGAGAACATGCAGACTCCACCCAGAAAGGTCCTGGTTCCCCCGGGACTCCGACCCAGAACCCTCTGGTCCTGGTTCCCCCGGGACCCCAACCCAGAACCCTCTGGTCCCGGTTCCCCCGGGACTAGAACCCAGAACCCTCGGGGCTGTGATGGTGCTGACCACACCAGAAATAATATTTTGTTAATTAGTTACCATATAAACTTGTATTTTTCAAATGGTGGCAGAAGCAAAAAATGATAAATTTTCCTCAAATCGACCCTTATGAATCAACTCCATTGGACCACATTGTGGTTATTCTCCTGTTGGTCATCCGCTGTTTGCCCTGCAGGTCAGGGCGGCGCCCCCCCGGCGGCGGTGGCCGACGCCATGGTGGGGGCCGTGGTGGACTTTGTGAGGAAGAGCAGCCCCAAGTCTGTGTCCGTCGTAAAGATGGTGATTTTCCAGGCAAACATGATCAGCGATTTCCACAATAGCATGAAGAAGAAGCAGGGGGAGGACGTGGAGGAGAAGAGCGTCTTTGGCAAGTTCAAAGGTACTTTTACATCCTTTTTTAAGTTTGTAACGAGTACTGACTGGATGATTTAACTGTTCTGATGGAGGACGCTGCTTCTCTGTACCAGGATCCTTCTTTTCTCTGTGACCTTTGACCTCTGGGCCTCATAGCAGACGCTATCAGACACTACTGTTTAAATCTAAAGGAAAATGCTTTCAGACATTTGATCCAAACGGGCCAATGGGAGCAGGGCTGCTGTCCCATGTGACCTGAGAAAGGAGAGGATACTGTGTGGGATCCATTTAAATGGAGGAACATCTGAGTGGGGAATTCTGTAGAAAACCACAGAGAAACCGCTTTTTTAGGGCTTTAAATGAAAGAAAATCATTGTTGTGTTCAAAGAATTCAGAAATCTCAGTTTTTCCTGCTTTTTTACCGTTTAAATCTAAAGGAAAATGCTTTTAGACATTTTCCACCAAACATGTTCTGATTGTGGAATTCAAATGTTGTAAATAAGTAATTTGGACCCTCAGAACCAAATGAATTAAATCTGTAAACAGATATTTTAAATCTAAAGATAAACCCACTGAGCCTCTATGAAGAAAAACTACCTGAACCAGGACAAAGTCTAGTTCTTAACCTGATCAGCTCCTCCTGATCCACAGATCTGGACCAGAGCAGAAACCAGATAAATGCTTTTGGCTCTCAGGAGGATAAAGTTATTAGTGAAACCTCTGGCCTGATTTTGTTTCAGTTTTGTTTTTTGCCGTTTCAGATAAGGTTTCCTCCCTTTTCGGACACAGCCCTGAGTCCCAGAGGACCGACGTCTCGGCGCTGGAGAGGCAGGAGTTTGAGCCGGCTGTGTTCCAGCTGTGCGCCGACAACCAAAAGGTCAGCATGGCCGCCTCTGAAAGCCTCCAGGGTCGTGTTGCTTCCTTAAAGAGACGAGCTTCAGGAAGTTCAAAGCAAAAAATAAGATAAAAAATAGTAAAGAAAAGTCCTACAAATACTGCCACGTTTGACAGGAACCGCTGGTCCTCTGCTTCTCAGTCACCTTTAGTAGGTCTCTGATCAGGGTGTGTTCACAGCTGACCTGCAGGTTTAAGAGGTTTTCCTGCTTCATAACACCTGACTCAGATCAAACTGATCTCCTCTAAAGAAGCTGAACAGGACTGCTGATGTTGTGTTGGAAAGAATCAGGTGTGTAGAAGCAGAGAAACCTCTAAAACCTGCAGGACAGTAAAGGCCCAAAGAGGCCGAAAAACTTCACTTTATCACTTATCATTTAAAATTTCTTTGTTTATTACTTATTTATTGTATCTAAACAATGCTGTTATAATTCATCTCTGCTCACTTTAAACAACTGCTCACTGCTTTGGTTTATTTATGTATTTTCAGCCTGAATCTCAGCAGCTTCTCTCAGGGTGAACAGAGCTTTCTGCATCTTTGAATCTTGAATAATAAGCTTTCTGATCAGGTTGTTTTCTCTTTCCACCTCCAGTCTTTCCCTCTCGTGTCCAGACATCTCGTTTATGCACTGGCCTGACTCAGGCCTGCCCCCTAGTGGACTCCATCATTTCCGCCTTCCTTTGGTTTGTCTGCAGGCTGTGAACTCGGTGAAGAAGAGGATCAACGAGCTGGTGGTGCGCGAGCAGGCGGAGCAGGTCCTCAAGGACCCCTTCATCCTGAAGCTGTCCCAGTCGGACCTGGAGCAGCTGACGGCCCTGCAGGCCAAGCTGACCGTCCGCATCCGTCTGGACCGCGGCGGGGGGGGCCAGGAGCCGGCGGTCCGGCTGGAGGGTCTGACCAGAGACGTCTTCACCGCCACCTCCGCAGTCAGGTCAGCTGCCCCCCCGCCCGGCTCCAAACCAGAGTCCGGAGGGAGCTGACCCTGCTGCTCCCGGCCGTTTTCTGCAGTGAAATCATCAGGAAGGTGGAGCGGGAGGAGAATCTGAGGAGCAAAGCTCTGCTGGTGAGCAGCCTGGTGGAGTGGCAGCACCTGCAGCCGGACGGGAGCATGGCGGCCTTCGACATCTACAGCAACCTGAAGCTGGAGGAGGCTCTGGAGAAGAAGGACACCGTGGAGCTCCGCATCCTCAGAGAGAAGTACACCGCAGACCCCAACCTCAAAACGGCCAAGTCAAAGAAACACACCATCGAGCTGCTCAGAAGAGACCTGAAAGGTGAGTTCAGCAGGGAAAAGCTCCAGAAAGGACCTCTGGATGTCCTTTCTAAATGTCTCCACTGGAACAGGAAATCCCATTCAAACATCTGTAGGAAATCATCAGCACCAAACCTCAAATCATTAAGTTCAACCATAACCTTAATATTCCAACACTAAGTGCAGCTGAAGCTGCAGGATGACACAAACTGACACAAAATGACCAAAATGTGGGGTAAAAGATAAGAAAATCGACTAAAAACTCCAATAATCAGAAAATCGATTTAATATTGAGCAAAAGAAGAGTAAAACTCACAAACTGATCAGAAAATGACTAAGGTATGAAAAAAAATTGCACGGATAAAAACAAGCAAAAGATCAGAAACAGACATAGTTATCACCAAATGACCAAATAAAACAAAATACAGATGCAACTCCAGCCAAATGCTCCTGTTGGGTTTAAAGGCTCCAGTTAAAGTCCTACAAGTAACAGTCCACAACCAGTCTGACACCCAGAGACACAAAGTCCAGCTGAGGCTGCACAGATGTTTGAGACAGAAAACAAAACAAGTCCAGCTAAAGACCAGAAAACGGCCAGAACAGACAGAAAACTTTAGGAATGGACACAAAATGACCAAAATGTGAGCAAAACACTGATCAAATCGAGACCAAATAAAACAAAAGGAGCTGCAAAAATAACCTGCATGAGATCAGAAACGGTGCAAAAACAGCAGATAAGCCAAAGACCCAAAAAGGGACAAAATAACCACAAAATGACCAAATAAAACACAAACCTGCTAACAGATCTCCAGTTAAAGTCCTCCAGGAGACAGTTAGTCTACAACAGGGGTGTCAGAATCCAGTCCTCGAGGGCTGCTGTCCTGCAGGTTTTAGACGTTTTCCTGCTTCTGCACACCTGATTCTTATTCAATTGGATCTCCTCTGGACATTGTTGAGCTTTCCACCTGTCTAATGGCCCTTTGACGTGAATCAGGTGTGTGTAAAAAGGGTTACCTCTAAAACCTGCAGGACAGCGGCCCTGGAGGACTGGAGTTTGACACCCCTGGTCTACAACCAGTCTGACCAGAGCAGAGCAGCAGGTTCTGGTGGCTTCTCAGGGCTTTTCGGGTTTTAGTTGTCTGTCCACAGCCTTCTGTTGTCCTTCATCAGCTGACTTTGATCTGAATGCTGGTTTTCCACAGCCGACTTCCTGCTGCCGTCACACTGGGCCGACATGCAGAGCGACCTGGTGAAGCTGTTTCCTGTGACGGCTGGATCTCAAGAATACAACAACGTCCAGACAGAGCTCACCAAGACCGGCCTGTCCCTGAACATCATCAGTGTACGTTCACATTCATTTGCCCCCCTAAAATGGTTCTGGGGAGCAGATTCCAGAGTTTCTCTGCTTCTAGCTGAGGCTTTTCAGAGAAATGTGGTTTATCTCTGTTCAGTCTCTGAATTCTGAGTCATTCAGGCAGAAAAAAGGCCCTTAACTCAAGGGATGAGCCTGCCTCGTATCAAGCTCAGGAAGAAATTAGGTCTGATCAGGATTTTTTAATTGTTTAAAAAAGTTTAATGTCTGAACAAACAAGCTAAATGTTCATGTTCTTCAGTTAAGACACACAATGCATATTTCTTTGTTTGTTTATTTTTTTATTTGTTTCTGTTTGCAGATCGAACGGGTCCAGAACACAACGCTGTGGAAGAGCTATCAGCTCCTAAAGGAGCGAATGGAGGTGAAGAACAAACACCAGAACAACGAGAAGATGCTGTTCCACGGCACCAGCAGCTCCTCAGTGGATCTGATCAACAGCACGGGCTTCAACCGCAGCTACGCCGGACAGCACGGTAACAGCACAACCCCCAGCTCCAGAGGAGTTTAGGCACAGATCCAGAGGAGTTTAGTCACAGATCCAGAAAAGTTTAGGCACAGATCCAGAAGAGTTTAAGCACAGCTCCAGAAAAGTTTAGTCACAGCTCTCCTCAGCAGGTGGAGGCTACTCCGCCCTTCTTGTAGATGGCGTCATGGTTTACAGTCCGGTTTTTGTTCAGGTGAACCCCCAGGAATCTGTAGCTGTCCACCACCTCCATGTTTGATCCCTGAATGTAAAGTTGACGATCTTCTCCTTTGTCTTGCTGGTGTTGAGCTGAAGCTGGATCCCCTCACACCAACTGACAAAGCGACATAGATAAATAGCTATTAGTAGTACCTGATCTGGACTAGGCCTCTGAGCTCTGCTGTGACCTGCAGCTCCTGGGCGACTCCCGGCTAACAGCAGCCTTCTTTGCCCCTCTGTCTTCAGGAGCCATGTTCGGCAAAGGCTCCTACTTCGCTGTGGACCCGGCCTACTCGGCCCAGCGCTACGCCCAGCCTGACGCCAGCGGTCTCAAGCGCATGTACCAGGCGCGGGTCCTGGTGGGGGACTTCACCAAGGGGAACAACGGCTTGCTCGCCCCACCGGCCAAATCGGGGAACACGGCAGACCTGTACAACAGCGTCACCGACAGCAGCAGCAACCCGAGCATGTTTGTGGTGTTCAACGACATCCAGGCCTACCCAGAGTACCTGATCACCTTCACCTGAACGCACCGCCACCGAGTAGCAGCTCCCCGCACTCCCCTTTAGACCCGGAATAATATTAGATATAGCTGGGATTGGCTTATATTTACTACCTTTAGGGTTTTACTTTATTAATGTAATTTAGTAGCGGGTTTGTTCATGTTAAGAATTATACTCACACACAAAACTTATCTTATGTCTTTGGTTGTGCTTCCTAATTCCTCTTCTTTCTATGAGACATTAGATCCACTCACATACACATTTCTGATTTGCTTGGATTGGTAGCTGGACTGATCATGTCAGCGGGTTCTGGCCCATAAGACTCATAGATCCATAAGATAAATGTCAATCACAGCCGGAGCTCTGGGCTGTGATGGAGATCCTCATTGAGTTTTGTCAGTTAGAGCACAGCGCTGATTTATTTTAAATGAGACCTGATTAAATTTCACTCTGATTAGTTCTTTGGTTTATTCTCAGGCTTGCAGTAAAAGAGTCGGGCTAACACTATCAAATCAGGAACTTCTGTTGAGGGCATGGCTTCTTATCTGGAATAAAATGGATGATATCTCTGTGGTGTTTTGTTTTTTTGTCATGTATTTTTGTCAAGATATAACTGTCCTCCTTATTCAACCATTAAAAAACGAATGCAGTGAAAGACAAACAACTGAAAACATCAATGTAAATTCTGCATGGTGTAGCTCCTCTTTCCACCTACATACATGAAGTATCATTTGTTGACTATTTAATATCAATAGTTTGAACAGTGGCCCTGAAGCTGAGGAGTCCCATTTCTGGTCCAGGTCTTTGACGCCATCTTGTGGTAAAACATGGTCCATAAGCAGCCCCTCTGCCTCATCTTGAGATTGATTTTTTAATTGTTTTGAATTTAATTGTCACCAATATCAAATAAATATTCAAGAGATCACATATGATAAAGACTGTTCAAATGCACATTCAAAATAAAAATTCATACAAAATCATACAGTCCTGGCGGTCTGGATTACAGATGGGAGTTTGGAGGAAGTTGAGTTCTGTAGCTTCTGTTTATATCAAAAACGTATAAATATGTGAATCGCTGCTTTCCGTGATGCTGATGGTAGCTGAATATTTAAACTACAAACCAGGGGGTGCTATGGGATTTCTAGTTTTACACTCATAATCAAAACAACTGCATTACCCAAACATGGTGAACTATCTACACATCTATGTGTCAGCCATTCTGCACATATAGTAGTTTTAGAGTAGTGTAATAGTTATTTTATATTCTGTTTATACTGTTTTAGCAAAGCAACTATCTATCTATCTATCTATCTATCTATCTATCTATCTATCTATCTA